CTTGAGAGGGTCAGGGGCTCTGGGTTCCTGCTTTCTCACGTGTTTTTCTCCTAACTATCTCTCCCATAAAAATTCTGGCTGAGCTATTCTCTGACCTTGTTTTCATTGTTCACAAATGATTTTAGCTGTCTAAAGTGATGAGTGTATCTGTCTGTGTGCGTGTGTAAGGAAAGCATTGCTTTCCATATTCATATCCTAGACTGTGGCTTGTTTCTACCCAGCCACCCATGAGTCCTTCTGTCTGTCCTGTTCATTTACCAAATCTTCCATTGTCCCTCCTCTGTCTATCAACATAGACATTTTCATCCATCCGTCCTCCCATTGCCCATCCATCCATCATCCACACATGCTTCCTCTCATCCTCCCATCCATCCACCCTCACATCCATCTGTCCATCCTCCTATCTATCCATCCTTCCATCCATCCACCCATCCATCCATCCATCCACCCATCCATCCATCCATCCATCCACCCATCTATCCATCCATCCATCCATCCATCCATCCATCCATCCACCCATCTATCCATCCATCCATCCATCCATCCATCCATCCACCCATCCATCCATCCACCCATCTATCCATCCATCCATCCATCCATCCATCCATCCATCCATCCATCCAATAAACACCTGCAAAGCCTCCTTAATACCAAGCCCTGTGCTGGCCTCAGAGGAACTAGAAGCAAGTAACTTTGTTCTGGACCACAGATTCCCAGTCCAGAGACAGGTTGGAAGAGAGGCCTTTTTGTCAATTTCATGTGTGTTCCATGGTGCCTCCCCTGAGCCTGGCAGCATCAGACCTTGGGAGCAGAGCTAGACAAGGTCCTTCCCCGCTGTGCTGGGGAGAGGGACAGAAGCCAACGTGAGCCAAGGCAAGAAATGCACATTCAGTAATCAGTTAGCTCTCTCCCAGGCCAGACCCGGGCTCTGAGGACGCCGAGACACAAAAGACTTGGCCGCAGGCACCTGAGCTCTGGGCATCATGCAGGGTGAGGTGAACTAGGTGAGTGTTTTGGTACCTGCTCTGGGGAGGGGCTTGAGCTGGTGAGCAGGGGAGACAGAGGACATCGCCTGGAGGAGGCACCATCCTGTGCTGTCCGTAGTGTCCACTCATGGCTTTCTGGTCTGGTCCTCTGCTTTACGGTGTCAGTTCTGTGAGACAAGAGTCTGTGTCTTCACCATGACTGCAGCCTCAGACCTAAGCCCAGCTGGACACACAGTCTTTGTTAAGTAAATGGCTTGAATTAATGGATGGAAAGACGGAGGGATGGAAGATGGATAGATAGCAGGCTGTATCGGAATCAGAGAAGGAGCTTAACACACTCATAAACAAAAACATACGCAAAGGTGCCTGAACCCTGTGCAAAAAAATAACACTAAGAGACAGCACTAATGCCTACTGACTTCCTCAGCACCAGCCCGCATGCTCTGCCTGTGACACGGGGCAGCTCACTGTGTCCTCCTGGCCATCCTGTGTGACAGGGACGAGAGCCACCCTTTCTCAGAAGCCTGACGAGGTTCTGGGAGGTGAAGTCGCTCATGCCAGGTCACACAGTCAAGAGGCAGAGGGACTGAGATTCAGGACAAGGTTTATTTGATTCTAGAACCAAGCTTGATCTGATTGGGCTTTAGGGTCCCTCAGAATCCGGGCACTCCACTGCTCCCCAGGGCTTTGGATTGTAGAGCCAGGAAAGAATATTTGGGTCACTAGAGTGAGCCGTGGGGATGCTGCTCAGGCTGCAGAGCTCGCAGCCTGATGCCTCCTCTCTGACACAGGCTGATGGCAGCTTTGGGCTTTCAGGAGGGCTGAATGAGGAAATCCCGTAGTGTGTGGACACGGTGTCTGCCATCATCAGCCCTTGTCACAGCTCCCCTGGGTACAAGAGACACTCGCTTTGTGTAGAGGATGGCTGGGTGGGGTGGATGGTGGACAAACGGATGGGGGATGTGAGAATGGAGACTGATGGATGGATAGCAGATGGATGGATGGTGGGTGGATGAGTGGGTGGATGGAAGATGGTGGATGGTGGATGGATGGATGGATGGATGGATGGATGGATGGATGGGTTGGTGGGCATGTGGGTGGGTGGCTGTGTGAATGCCCTTTAAGTGAACCAGCTCACTAGTCTTCATCACCAAGAGGTGGGTGCTGTCAGGTAACCCGCTGTGCAGATACCAAAAGGGAGAGTTCTGTGGCTTGCAAAGCTATGACTCGGACCTGGGTTAAGTTCCACTTTCCCGAGTCACTTCTGTCACTTCGTAGACTTTTCCCCATTCGCAGTCATGCTGCCTGTGACTAGAGATGATTTCATCTCTTCTTTCCCCACCTGGTTCACTGAAGCACACGCGCTGCAGCTCAAGTGGATGGTGTCACCCGCATGGGGCTCTTTCTTTGGGGAAGTTTGCTAAGTAATGGAAAATCATAAATAAGAAAAAACATTTCTTATTGGGTCCTTCACAATAGCAAATTTGCTAGCAGTTTTGTCCTGAGTAGCTTTCTGTGCTTTGAAATGTTATTAAAAGTTATAATTTTGATATGTGTACAATTTCAAATCCTGTTTTTCCCAACCTGTACAAAAAAAAATCATAGTTTTCATGTTATTGTAAAATCTTCTTGGACATTATTTTTAATTGTTGCTTATTGTTGTCAGACAAAACCCTGTTTGTCTTCAATTCTTAGATCCCCTCCATCTCTGTCTCTGTCTCTGTCTCTGTCTCTGTCTCTCTCCTAATATGAGAAATTCAAAACTCTTGCTGGAAGTGAACACACCTGGGACAGGGAGGAGTTTCCCAGCCTCTCTTGCAGATAGATGAGCCCACTGACCTACACTGTGCCCAGTGAGATGTGAGGGACTTCCAGGTGCTGTCCTCAGGGACGGGTATGTTTTTCTCATCCTCTCTCCTGCTGCCTGGAACACAGATGTGATAGTCAGAATCTGAGTAGCCATCTTGGGCCAAAGCGGACAATAAGAACATCCCCAAGTCCCTGGTTTTGCAGACACGTTCTCCTATTCCCTGACAGCCACTTCCACAATTCTCCAACAGTAACCCTACTTCTGGTGAGAGTCACCCTGGTGGGTTCACTGTCAACTATGTGACCCCTCCATGGCATCCTCTGGGAGCAAGTCCCCCACTTGAGGCCCGTACCTGGGTCCTCTATACCTGGATTCCAAAGCTGGGGCCTCTCGCACCTCTTGTGCTGTCCTGTTGTGTCCTTCCACTTGGATGCCTGGAGCAGGGGCACCTGGTTGGCCAAGCCCAGGTCACACGCCTGCACCCGTGCCACAGGGAGCTGGGCAAGTGCGTTTCTGGTGTCTCCCTTGGGGATGCACGGCCAGGATGGCAGGAGAGTCCCTGAGGCTGGGGGTGAGGTGCCAGGCAGCCAGAAAGAAAGACAGAGGCCAGGTTCCCAGCAAAGCCCGGACTGGGCCCAGGAAGGAAGCAGGAAAGCTTCTACTCCACTCTCCTCTTCTCCACGCAGGGCAAGAGGACGGCAAGAAGTAAACACAGGCTCAGGTCACCTTTACGGTCCATCCAGCTCCGCAAGGGCCGAGTCAGGCCAGGTCTATAGGCGCCACGGCCTCTCCTTGCAGCCCCTTTCCAAGGTCAGCAGGAGTAGTGACTTGAGGCGGCTATGTTCCTGCAGGGGGAGGGACGCCCCTGCCTTAGCACCCTAAGAGTCAGGCCATCCAGTGGGTGCTCAAAGAGATCTTGGGGGACCCGATGATCACATCAGGCTCTGGGCCACAAGGAAGACGCTGGATGCTGGAGTTAACATCTGTGACTCCACCAAAGTCCCTCGGGCTCCTGTGTACCTCCTGGATCTGTCTTAGGTCCTGGGCCACTGTAGGAAAGAAGACAGGTCCCTGTCCTCACAGTGGGGGAGATGAGCAATAAAGACAGCCCCCCCAATGCTAATACCATAGCATCACATACCATGTTTTACAAAGAAATGAAAATGGGATGGGTGACTCAGGGACATTCACTAGGAAAAATGGTTGAGAGGTGGTGTTTGAACAGGGTCCTAAAGAAGGTGAGGAAGCCAGGCAGCTTCTAGGCAACAGGAGCAACCAGTGCAAAGGCCCTGAGGTAGGAAGGACTCGGGGCCATCTGCGGTGACACAGCCAGGGAGGTAAGGGTTACACAGAGCTTCCCAACCGCAGCGAATCTCCAGACCTTTAACTGGCGGAAACAGGCGGGGAGGGTTGAGTCTTCAGTCTTAAACTTCTCTGAAAAAACATGATGTCAGGGACAGACAGTAAATCTTGACTTGTCTTGGAAAACAATGGGCCCATGTAACCAAGAGAAAGCTCCAGTGAACAGTAAATGGCCAGAGGGCTCGGCACTGGGGATCACATGGAATTTATTAACAGATTTGCCTCTGAAAAGGAGCTTCCCGGCTGGGCAGGAGCAGCTTCTGGTCAGCATCAGAAGGGTGTTTACTGAGGTGCTGGGGTGCAGACAGGAAAAAGAGGCCAGCCAGGCTGCTGCCCACGTGGAGAATGGAAGGAAGCACGTTCCTCCATCCAGGGAAGGATCAGCATGGACCTCTGTGTGCGCGCAGGGTGCCAGGAGGTCAGACACACGTGGCCGCCTCCAGCCCTCACTATAGGCGGAGGGGGCAGGTGAAGATTGCACCAGGACACGAGACCACCCCAAGCTCAGGTGGGGCCAGGGAAGGACCACAGAGAGGGAGGGAGAGCCCCTAACGCTGCTCTAACCACAGGCCCACGCTGCTATCTTACCCTCTCCCTCCCTCTGGGTGGTTTCTTCTTTGTCCTTTTATGAATCTCTTAAAATGAGACCAAAACACACAAGAAGCAAAGCCCACGAGCAGAGACCTCTTTCCACAGAGAGGCCCCAGCCTGCACTTTAAGGATGAGGCTCTGCTCTCTTCCCACAGCTGTGCTCTCATTTGTCAGCCCATTTGACAGATGAGGAAACTAAGGTTTGGGGAGTCACGCCATGGCCCGAGGTCCCACGGCTGGATTTGATCCAGGTCTGCCTGGTCCTATTTTTAAATCAGGAAGTTCAGGGAGACATCCTTCAAGGAAACTGCTTTGCTTTGAAATTCAGGGGGTGAAAACCCAAACAAACCAAACAAGAAATATTACATTTTTAAAGAAACCACTTATGGAAGCTGAGATGGCCCTGAGACCGACCGGTAGCTTGGAGAGTTTCTCAGAAGGGCCCTGTTTGGGTTTGGGGCGGGGCATTCCTTCTGCCTGGCATCCCCGGAGGCACACAAAGCCCTGCCCGCTAATCCCCAGCCACGTTCCCGTCACGGTGACACCCCCGCCTTCCCAGCTCTGCCCGCCACCCTCCCTGTGCCGGCTGCTGCCTCGGATGCTGGGTGACTCGGCCTGGTGGGTTGGCCGCCCTGCACACCTGAGGGGCAGGTGCCCGAGGCCTCGTTTTACAGAGAGGCTGGCTGAGGTGGCCAGGTCACCCAGGCAGGGCTCCTCGACGCCTCACAGCCCCCTGGGGACAAGCAGGGACAGGGGCTTTCTGTCTCACGGCCTGCAGCCCCAGCTCCCAGGAGGCCAGTGTGGGCCAGGACAGGAGGACGGCAGCCCCGCGCAGCGCCCAGACTGGGCCGGTGGCCACACTGCCTTGGGGACCGGGAAGTATGCTCCCTCCGCCCGCCGGCTCACAGCGTCCTGTGGCTGCCTGCCAGGCCCCGCCTGACGTCAGGGTCTGACCAGGGACATAATGTGCTGGCATGGGGACAAGGGCTGACTGCAGAGAGACAGAGGTAGGGCGGTCCGCGGGAGACGGGAAGATGGCAGACAGAGAGAACCCAGGAGAGGAGGAGAGAGACAGAGAGAGACAGAGACAGATGGGGGAGGAGAGGGGGAGAGGCAGAGCCCAGAGCCGGCTAGGAGTGAAGGGCCTGGCTAGGACCTGGCTCCACCCAGGATTTGCTGCTGTTGACTCAACTCTGGGGAGCATCAAGTCCTTACAGGGGCTGGGGCCCCACGGGGCTCCTGCAGAGGGGACAGAGCGCCTCTCACGCGGGGAGGCTCTGCTGTGTAAAGCACTCTGCCAGCCCTGCATGTAGTAAATGCTCAATAAATCAAGGCGGACTTCAGAGGCAGCGGGACAGGGCAGGAAGACCCCGGGGCTGCCTCTCTCATTTCACAGCACACCCCCCACGGCAGGGAGCACCCCAGCCCAGCGGGACTCCACCAGGAGGCCACCAACGCAGACCTTGGCCTGGCCTTGCCTGTCTTGGGGCCCAGCCCCTTGTTTATGGGCTGGAGAAGGCCCTGATCCCAGGGCCATCACGTCACCAAAGCCGCGCAAGGCCAGGCCTCCTCACTGCTGGCTTCCAGCCTTGTCACCCCTCTGCCAGCTTAATCATTAAATGGCCCCACAGAGCCGAGGGACTGAGCTGCCCCCTTCCTAGAAGGGCCATCTGTGCTTATGGGTCCCACAGCCCTGAGAGCCGCATTCTCAGCCCAAGGTCATACAGCAGCACCATCCCCAGGGCCACCTGTGCCCGCTAACATGTCACAAAGTATCTCCTTTCATCCCCAGGATCACCCCATGGGGCCCTGCTTCTCAGCCGGCGATGCAGCTCCATACCCCACTCTGCACAGGATGCCCCACCGTAGAGAGGAGCTGGCCCCAAATGTCCATGCGCCAAGGTCAGCAGCCTGCTAGGCGGTAGCTTCTGCTGTGAGGCCCATTTCACAGATGTGGAAACTGAGTCACAGAAAGGTGCCACTTGCCCAAGGGATCAATCTGCACTGTAAGAGTCTGTCAGTCCTTTCAGCAAGACCATCGCCCCTACAGCAGGTCCTTCAGAATGAGGCTGGGGTGCATGCCACATGTGGCACAGAGAACTCACAGGCAGAGCCACTGTGGGAACAGGGATACCTTTAAATTAATGCCTAATGTGAAGAGGGACATCTGAAACCGACCACACAGATTCATGGAGCATTTTCTGGGTACCTCCTATGTGCTGGGTCTTGTCCTTGGTGCTGGGGCCAGGCCTGCTGGGTGCTGGGAGGGGACCGTCCAGAAGGGAGGGGACAACGCACAAGAATGCAAAGCCCCATGGGATCTTTTCACCCTGGCTGAACCCTACTTCTGCAGAGGACGGAAGCCTGGGGCTCCAGCAGGCCGAGACCGTAGGATGCAGAGGGACAGCCGTGGCGGGGGACCGGGGCACAAGCTCCAGGCAGCGTGGACACGCGTCCCGTGTCTTTCTGCTGCTGGTCACGGGAGACAGAGGCTCTTTACGCACTGTCATCCTGGGTCCCCAGCACCAATGGCCGCTCAGGGTGTGCGTGGTGACAAGGACAGCGACTTCCTCAGGCCCACACGGTGGCCTGAACCAAGAACACTGGGCAGGCCGCCTCCCATCACTGAGGACGTGCAGTGACCCGGAAGCTTCTGCTCTGTGGAGACAGAGCTGTGTCCTCCAGGGGGGTCAGACTGTGGAGACACAGTGATTTAAGGAACCCACAGCACCAGTGACCCAGGCTGTTGCTCCATGGGGAAACTGAGGCCCAGAGAGGTGGGGTCTTCCCCATGGTGCGCAGCAGGCTCCCAGCGTGCTCCGGGCCGAGGGCGGAGAGGGTAATCTGCCTGCCCAGAGTCCTGGCTGAGCCTGGGGCAGCCCAGCAGCACCTCAAGTGGATTCTAAGAAATGAAGGTTAGGGGTTAGAATCTGGGCCCCTGGAGTCAAACTCTAGCTCAGCCTCCCCCAACCCCCCACCCCCTCCATGGCCTCAGGAAAGTGGCTTTCCCTTTCTGGCCCAGGGCTCTTCTGATTATTCCTACTAAAATTCTTCCCAGAGTAAACCAAGTCCTATGGACTATATCTTTTTTTTTTTTTTTTTTTGTCTTTTTCCTTTTTATTGGTACCAGGGATCGAACTCACGACTGCCTGCTTGCAAGGCAGGTGCTTATGCCACTGAGCTAAATCCCCAGCCCTCTCTGGACTATATCTTAAAACACGAAGACCAAGCCTGGATGCGAGCTGACATTTATACCAGATCAGAATGCTTTAGGCATACAAATGTAGTCATAATAAAACACAATAAACTTAATGTGAAAAAATAAACAATAAACAAAAAAGAGGCCTGTTTTTCTCTTGCATGAATGAAGTCCAAATGTAGGTGGGGGAGAGAGGGAAGCAGCAACCCTACAAAGCCCTCAGCGTCTCAGGCTCCTTCCTGCACACCACTCCGTCATTCCGAGGGGATGACCCTCTTTCTTATGACCCAAGATGGAGGCCACTGCACCAGCCTTTCCATGTGTCTTCCAGATAGCAGAGTGGAAAAGAAAGGATGATATGTAAAGGGCAGTGTCTTAGTCACTTTTCTCTTTGCTGAGACAAAAATACCCAACACCCCAAAGTTAATGGCAGAAAGGTTTATTTAGCTCACAGTTTATAGAGGTTCATAATCAGCTGGCTCCACGGCAGGTGGCACATGGCGGAAGAATAACAGCTCCTGGCAGTAAAAGACAATAAAAGCAATAAGAGAGTTTAACAGCGACTTTCTGCCTCTTTTTACTGCATCCAGTCCACTGAGATTAGGGAAGTACCAATCCAATCAGTAGGTCCATCCAGTCGCCCATCCCTAATCCCAGCACTGCACCATGAATCAATCACAAACTCTAGACTCGGCCACGTCTGAAAAGCCTGCCCTCCGTGACTGCGTAAGGTTTCGGGGGACACCTGCAAGCCGTAAGAGGCAAGCGCCATCTAAATCTCCAGGAAGGATGCTAGGATCTGCCACACGACTCCCAGTTTCACCCCGCTGGCCAGCACTCAGGCGGGAAGCTGCACCTAGCTGCAAGGGAAGCTGGAAAAGCTGTGCTTCCTCTGCACAGTCAGGAACTCACCCAGGACAGTCAAATATCTATAAAGAAGCAAGATAACTTCAGACAGTGCGCACGAAGGAACAAAGTGGGATGGGGACCCTGGAGAGAGGGAGGGATGCACCCCAGGAATGTGCTGCCTGAGGCAGGACCAAGCTCGGAGGGGAGGAGAAACAGGAAGACTGTGGCTGCAGCTGGGAGGGGACAGGTGCCCGCTGGCCAGAGACGGGCCAAGGAGGTCAGCTGGGCCAGACACAGTCCCCTGGCCACTTAGGCCTGCTGGTGGCCACACTAGGTCATAGCAGCAGACACGGCCCCCACTGTTAGGAAAAGGGAAGGTAGCCAAGCAAGCCGGAGACCCACGGGATGGTTCACAGTGGCCCGAGTGACTCAGGGCAGGTAAAGGGCCCATGGGGCACAGCACCACCAGAGGGCTGAAGCATTTCCCACAGTGGGGTGACATTTGAGCTCACATGCAAAGGGCAGAGAGGCCTGGCCTTGTGAGGTCTAAGAAGGTGAGAGCATTCCAGGAGAGGGAACAGTGCGTGCAGAGTCAGCAGGCAGGAGAGGAGCTGAACACGGGGAGTGGTGATGTCCGCAGATGTCCCTGGAGAGAGAGTCAGGGGGTTGGGGCTCTCAGGCTCAGGGGGATGAAGATTGGCTCAGAGCCCTGACCCCCACATCCCTGGGAGGGGCCTGCGGCAGATGGGAGATCAGCAGGGACCCAGCTCCCCTGCTTGGGTGATTACAGCGGTGGTGACGACGCCAGGCTTCTGTCTTCCATGGCTAGAGAGTCCCCGTGGGCGGCCCCACACAGGGGTGTTTGTGTCTTCAGCCTAGGACCGCATTCTGACTCAGCCGCTGCCCAGGCCCTCTGGCCAAGGCCACCTCTCCCACCCTCCTCTCCCCATCCAAGGCTGCAGAATCTCAAGCCCCTGGTGCAGAAGAGACCCAGGTCTCTGGTCAGTTCTGCACCCCATCCCAGGAGAAGGACCTTCCCCGGGTCTCAAGACTGGAGTGGGGCCAGGGCCTCCTGACATCTGGCCCGAAGTCTTTAAGCTGTTTAATTACAGAAGAAAAACAAGAGAAAGGAAGAAGGGGGAGGAAGGGAGGAAGGAGGGAAGGGAGAGGGATTGAAAAACAATGCACAAATCAACAAGATCTAAGCCAGAGCCTTGGCGGGGCGGGATTAGCATTTGTAGAACACGAGGCCACTCAACACCTCCCTCCCCATCCCCGGGTTCAGCCACCGCCTGCAAGTCCTCACATTCAGGCAGAGGGGCTGCATCTGCTCCATGATTTGGAAACAATGACAGTGCCACCAGCATCACGTCCAGTGGCTCTCTGGTGGACAGGGGTTTGCGCCCAGGTCCGGCTGCAGCTACCCCACACAGGCTCCAACCCCAAGCCAGGGCCCTCCTCTGCAGCACCCTCTCCCACAGCCGAGCAGCAGTGCTCCCCACACCCACCCGGCACCCTGCAGACAGGATTCCTCTGACCCCCAGGACATTTTCATTAAATTTATACCAATGTCCACGTATTAAGAGATGTCACATTAAAAACTCCCAGAGCCTTTTAGGGCTGTGCAACCTGACTCCTCGGTCCGTGATCCCACCCGGCACAGGCTAACTGCTCCCAAATGCTCCACTGCCTCCCTGAGCCCAGGGCCAGACGGTGGGTGCCACTCACCGCAACGCGCACACAGGTGTTTTTCTGACACCTTTCCCGGTGCCTGTCTCTCCATCAAAAGAGGGGAAACCCAGGATGATGCCTGAGAGATCAGGGTGCATGCAGCTGAGGGATGTTCCTCGGTGCTCATTCTGGAGACAAGTTATACCTGATGCCACGGTTTGGGCTTCCTGCTTGATGAGCAAATCAGCAAAGTTAACAAACAACACTATAGGGTGCCCGTTTGATTTGAATTTTAGATCAGTAACTAACGATTTGGGGGGCTAGGCATGTCCTATGCTACACTCGGGACAGACATGCTTAGGCAGCTCTACCTAAGGAGTCAACAGTGTGACTCTGGGTGGGTCATATTTGAATACAAATCCCCTCCCACCCTGCCCCCCAGCCAGATGATCATGGGCAAGTCATCGATATCCTCTGGGTTTCAGATTGTACCTGAGCAATGACAGCTTCATGATGACTTGAGGTAACACGTGAAGCCTGAGCATGGTAGGGTTCAGAAAATGTTAGCTGCGGGCAAAAATGCCACCTGCTACCTGGCCCTCATCATCCCCACCTCTTTTGCCCACTGAACCCTGATTTGTGACACCTGAAGCCCACTCCAGGACATGCACAAGATTTATATCGCAGATCAGGGCACGCCCATTCCAGTGATTGGCCCAAGGTAAGCATGTGACCTGGTTCTCGCCAATGAAACATAGCCGGAAGTCAGCTCTCACCAATGAAACGTAACTGGAAGTGAGCAGGGGATGGATGCTCCAGAGAGACAGCTGCCCCTAAGGAGTCCACAGCCACGGGGGGAATAAAAAGATACCCAACCCTAGCCACTCCCCTTAACAGTCAACGCTGAGGATGTGGAAGGATCGGAGGCCTGAAGGCTGACTGCTTCTACTAGTCACTTTTTTGTTGCTGAGACAAAATACCTGACACCTGCAATGTGAAAGGGGGGAAATTTACAATATTTTGGTTCATGGTTTCAGTCCATGTCAGCTGGCTCCAAGGCAGAAACAGGATGGCATAGGGACAGGAAGGAGGGAGAGATACTCAGCCCATGGCAGCTGGGAAACAGCAGGGAAGACTCGGACCAGCACAGGCCTTCTGGTCACACCTCAGTGACCCGCCTCCACGAGGACCCCACCTCCCAGCAGCACCTTCAGCCACTGAACTCATTCATAGAGGAACCCACTGGTGACTACAGTGTCCCCGGGTCCAGTCACCTCCCACGTGCATGAGACTTCAGAGGGACATTTTAGATCTAAACCGTGACAGTGCACCAAACTCCTTTCAAAATGAGTGACAGAATTGCTGAAGAGTGAAGCCACCACTAAATAGCTTTACAGTGTGTTGGCAAAGCATGTGGACTCTGGTGTCACATCCTATTTAAGCCACTGACTAGCTCTGTGCCTCAGTTTCCCTACCTGGAGAGTGGATTGAATGATAGATTCTGCTTCATTGGGCTGCTGTAAAGATGAAATGAGTTGGCGTAAGCCACGCATTTGTTGAGGCACCTGGGAGTCGCACTCACCGTGGAACTTAGTCGTGGTGATTCTCTGTGACCACCCCAAGCTCTGAGCCTGTGACCCATGGAGGGGTCCAAGCCAGCAATCAGAAGCCCGTGCTGTGCCTGTGGAAGTTGCACCAACACCCAGGTTTGCCCCAGAGCTGTGCATTTTTTTGCATCTCTTTCCTCTTGCACAAGTATGAGTAGATTCACATCAGCCCCCCAGGGAGGAGGCGGAGTGTCAGGCTCTCCTGGATCTAGGATGCGATTCTGCCATCTGGAATTTGGGAGTGGAAACTTGAGGATCTAAATGTAATGGATAGCGCATAGGGTCCTGTCCAGAATGCCTCTGACTACGAGATTCAGACCCGCACCAGAGGGCTTAACACTCAGCCATTTCATCATTTCACAGAACAACTGGAGGTGGATGGCTTCAGTGTCGAGGAAGACTCCCAACGATGCCACCCAGTACCCAGCCACTTTCAACCTTCCCCGTTCTGTGGGGCTGCTTCCTAGCATGAGCTTACTGCCTTGTGGCCACGAGATAGTTGCTATAGTCCCAGCACAGCAGCTATTATTAATGAAGTTAGAGGCACAAGGAAAGTGTTGGTGGGTTTGAAAAAAATCTCCTTGAACTCTTTTAACCTAGGGCGAAAACCTTTTTCCCATCTCCTTGCTCAGGGCTGCTCATCTGTTTGCTCCACACTGCAAAGGAAGCCCAGAGAGTCAGTAACCACAGAGGGGAGTGCGTGACTGAGACTGTTTTACCCCACTCTCCGTCCCTCCCCAGGAGTTGGACCGTTACCTCCCACCTCCAAACAAGGACTGAGGGTCCAGCTACTGGTATCCAGGAAATGGCAGCAGCCCTGTGGCCAGGTCTACTTCTTGCAAAAGTCTCCCTGGCAGGCTGGCGAGGAATTAAAACAGAATGGGCACAGATACAGGCCAGAGAACAGTCAACTGGAAGCCAGAGAGGAGCCCTGAGCAAGGGATTAAAGGCTGGAGGCTGAGCTGGGGACT